TCCGATATTGAATATCGTATAAATATTGAATGTCGTAAATTGATATAAACAATTAATCCTGCGCACTTGAAGCCACGTTAAATTTAAATCTGAATTATATTTTCTGTTCTACAGTATTTCCATTTTATATGATACATTGTTAGTGCAATTTATGCACATGAATATTGAGTCTTGCGACTCGTACAACAGTTATATTTAACATAATAATAATATAATAATATTTTATTATTATTATTTATTATTATATATTATATATAATATAATAATATATATAATAATAATATATATAATATAATATATATAATAATATATATATATATATATAATATAATATATATAATATAATATATATATATATATATATATTATTATTATTTATAATATAATATAATTATATTTTAACTGTTTTTTTTTAAAAATATAAGCAAATTTAATAAATAAAGGATAATCTTGGAACGCGATTTAAGAATTTTCAATGCTGCCTCAGAGTCACCATTTGAGTGCAAAGCGTTCAAAAATTCAACGAAATAATGTGATTCGAGGAAACTAAAAAGTTGTAAAACCGAAGAGTTTCTTATAATCGATACAAAAAAACGTAACTGGAAGTAACATGTAAAATGTCACGATTTAACTAATACTGATCTTTAACCTTTTAGGTACGGCCGAATTCTGCGCGAGGCTATTTCTATGGACGGCAGAGTCTGATGTGTACTGCACCTGTCTCTTATACACATCTAGATGTGTATAAGAGACAGGTATATACAGGGTGTCCCAAAAATGTCTCGCAATCCGGAAATGGCGGGTTCCTCGGATCATTTGAAGCAACTTCTTAGATGTGTATAAGAGACAGGTATATACAGGGTGTCCCAAAAATGTCTCGCAATCCGGAAATGGCGGGTTCCTCGGATCATTTGAAGCAACTTCTTAGATGTGTATAAGAGACAGGTATATACAGGGTGTCCCAAAAATGTCTCGCAATCCGGAAATGGCGGGTTCCTCGGATCATTTGAAGCAACTTCTTAGATGTGTATAAGAGACAGGTATATACAGGGTGTCCCAAAAATGTCTCGCAATCCGGAAATGGCGGGTTCCTCGGATCATTTGAAGCAACTTCTTAGATGTGTATAAGAGACAGGTATATACAGGGTGTCCCAAAAATGTCTCGCAATCCGGAAATGGCGGGTTCCTCGGATCATTTGAAGCAACTTCTTAGATGTGTATAAGAGACAGGTATATACAGGGTGTCCCAAAAATGTCTCGCAATCCGGAAATGGCGGGTTCCTCGGATCATTTGAAGCAACTTCTTAGATGTGTATAAGAGACAGGTATATACAGGGTGTCCCAAAAATGTCTCGCAATCCGGAAATGGCGGGTTCCTCGGATCATTTGAAGCAACTTCTTAGATGTGTATAAGAGACAGGTATATACAGGGTGTCCCAAAAATGTCTCGCAATCCGGAAATGGCGGGTTCCTCGGATCATTTGAAGCAACTTCTTAGATGTGTATAAGAGACAGGTATATACAGGGTGTCCCAAAAATGTCTCGCAATCCGGAAATGGCGGGTTCCTCGGATCATTTGAAGCAACTTCTTAGATGTGTATAAGAGACAGGTATATACAGGGTGTCCCAAAAATGTCTCGCAATCCGGAAATGGCGGGTTCCTCGGATCATTTGAAGCAACTTCTTAGATGTGTATAAGAGACAGGTATATACAGGGTGTCCCAAAAATGTCTCGCAATCCGGAAATGGCGGGTTCCTCGGATCATTTGAAGCAACTTCTTAGATGTGTATAAGAGACAGGTATATACAGGGTGTCCCAAAAATGTCTCGCAATCCGGAAATGGCGGGTTCCTCGGATCATTTGAAGCAACTTCTTAGATGTGTATAAGAGACAGCATCCGCGGAGGCCACTATAGTGACGTGTCGTTCTGAAAGATGACATCCGCGAAAGCGGATCTGTACCCGTATATATCCATTGTATTCCTGAAGTTCCAAGTGAACACATATTAATCATGCTCGAAGAAATCCGCGAGTCCCCACATTCCCGTGTTTTCCACGTATCGTCGCCGCGGCTCGCAACATTTGCATTATATCCGGATCAATGTACTCGTGTCTCCTTGCTTCGGTATACACGGCACGTTTGCTCCAGTTTTATTTGACCGGTTTCAACACAGAAATCAATTCGCGCTGTTTACACACGCTGTTTCTTCCATGGAAAAGAAGCGTTTAAAAACGATATTCACGATATTCTTTTTTTTCCGACGGCGAACTCGGAAAGTGGCGCGTATTTCGCGAAACGCCGCGGAAATAAATCGTAAAAATGAGAGACAGATTTCCTGCTGTTGTTCCTTGCGGAAATAGCCGAGATTGCTTACGACGAACTTTCATTGTCGTAGCGCAGGTGTTACGAAAAGACAGTTTTTCCTTTCTGCACGGTCCATGATGAAATTGAAAAACACGCACGACTTCAGACTATAAATAATTATATTTTTCTTTGTACAATTATCGAAGTCTGATTAACGCTAGATTTACGGAACCCGTGAAAATGACGACGGATCACTAATTTTTTAATTTACGATTATTCATATCGTAAAGATACATTTATGAGTTGTTTAGTCAATTTATATGTTACAATAACAAAATTGTAATGTAATATATAATAACACTTGTTAAAAACACTAATATAATAAAATGTAATATATAAATAATTAATATATAAATAATATAATATATAATAACACTTGTTAAAAATCAGAATAAATGTTTTATTGTTACTTTTGAAAACTAATATACGAATTCCCTAGCCACTGTGCAGTGCATTGATCTGATAATATTTGTCGTTTTAATGAACATTGCGTAATATTCATTCGAGTGTTTAAGTTTCGAATGTTAAATGAGTGGAGCGAGTGAGAACTATAGTCTTTCATCTTCATTTCTAAATGAAACTCCAACACGCCAAGTTTGATACCTGGCAGCCCCAGTGAGAATTACGTCTTTTACCAGGCAATCTGTGCTCGTGTTAAATTAATCCCTTTGATAACGCATACCGTATGTATGAAAACAGCCTCAGCTACCGTGACGTGAAACTGCCCTCTGAGCTGATTAGACCACCCTTTGCTACACGGCGGTGTGATGTTCGTATACTGAATAACCGATCACTTCGCGAAGTTGTGCACTGTTACGATGCATCATTAAGCACTATTATTACAGTCCTGTTTCGATATCCGTGGTTTGCTGCGATCCAAATGACACGGTTATAATCGGTTTGCAAGTTTTACACCGCATAAAAAGCACACTTGACTCACATTCATACATTTTCGCAGCTAAGCTTCCTCTGGGATTGTGGACTTTTATGCGCTACGTTCTTGCTGTACGATTTAAGTAAGAAATTATGGTGCCTGGCACTCAAAAATA